TTTGAGTTACAAATGTGAGCAACTGCACCGGTATCAAATACCCAGGAGCTACTACGAGTACTGGTAAGGTACACATCAATTACATGTATATCACATATACCTTTCGTGTTGCCGGCCTTCTTGTCCGCTAAGTATTTGGGGCAGTTCCACTTGCAGTGACCACTTCCCTTGCAATAAAAACACTCAGTCTCGGGCCTGGGTCCATTCTTTGGCTTCTTCCCGATAGCTTGCTTACCGGGCGCGGCAACTCCCTTGTCGTCCTTCTTGAAGTTCTTTTTACCCTTGCCTTTCTTGAACTTAGTGGTTTTATTCACCATCAACACTTGATGTTCCTTTTTGATTTCCACCTCTGCTGATTTCAGCATTGAATATACCTCAGGAATGGTCTTTTCCATCCCCTGCATATTGAAGTTCATCACAAAGCTCTTGTAGCTTGGTGGAAGCGACTAAAGGATTCTGTCAATGACCGCGTCATCCGGGAGATTAACTCCTAGCTGAGACAAGCGGTTATGCAACCCAGACATTTTGAGTATGTGCTCACTGACAGAACTATTTTCCTCCATCTTACAGCTGAAGAACTTGTTGGAGACTTCATATCTCTCGACCCGGGCATGAGCTTGAAAAACCATTTTCAGCTCTTCGAACATCTCATATGCTCTGTGTCTCTCAAAACACTTTTGGAGCCCCGGTTCTAAGCTGTAAAGCATGCCGCACTGAACGAGGGAGTAATCATCAGCACGTGATTGCCAAGCGTTCATAATGTCTTGGTTCTCTGGGACAGGTGTGTCACCTAGCGGTGCTTCTAGGACATAATCTTTCTTGGCAGCTATGAGGATGATCCTCAGGTTTCGGACCCAGTCCGTATAGTTGCTGCCATCGTCTTTCAGCTTGGTTTTCTCTAGGAACGTGTTGAAGTTGAGGACAACGTGGGCCATTTGATCTACAAGACATATTGTAAAGATTTTAGACTAATTTCATGATAATTAAGTTCATCTAATCAAATTATTCAATGAACTCCCACTCAGATAGACATCCCTCTAGTCATCTAAGTGAAACATGATCCGAGTTAACTAGGTCGTGTTCGATCATCACGTGAGACGGACTAGCCAACATCGGTGAACAACTTCATGTTGATCGTATCTCCTATACGACCCATGCTCGACCTTTCGGTCTTCCGTGTTCCAAGGCCATGTCTGTACATGCTAGGCTCGTCAAGTCAACCTAAGTGTATTGCGTGTGTAAATCTGGCTTACACCCGTTGTATTCGAACGTTAGAATCTATCACACCCGATCATCACGTGGTTCTTCAAAACAACAAACCTTCGCAACGGTGCACAGTTAGGGGGAACACTTTCTTGAAATTATTTCGAGGGATCATCTTATTTAAGCTACCGTCGTTCTAAGCAAATAAGATGCAAAACATGATAAACAGCACATGCAATCAAATAGTGACATGATATGGCCAATATCAATTGCTCCTTTTGATCTCCATCTTCGGGGCTCCATGATCATCGTTGTCACCGGCATGACACCATGATCTCCATCATCATGATCTCCATCATCGTGTCTTCTTGAAGTTGTCTCGTCATCTATTACTTCTACTACTATGGCTAACGCTTTAGCAATAAAGTAAAGTAATTACATGACGTTTATGTTGACACGCAGGTCATAAATAAATAAAGACAACTCCTATGGCTCCTGCCGGTTGTCATACTCATCGACATGCAAGTCGTGATTCCTATTACAAGAACATGATCATCTCATATATCACATATATCATTCATCACATCCTTTGGCCATATTACATCACAAAACACTTGCTGCAAAAACAAGTTAGACGTCCTCTAATTGTTGTTGCAGGTTTTTACGTGGCTGCTATAGGTTTCTAGCAAGAACGTTTCTTACCTACGCCAAAACCACAACGTGAATTGCCAATTTCTATTTACCCTTCATAAGGACCCTGTTCATCGAATCCGATCCGACTAAAGTGGGAGAGACAGACACCCGCCAGCCACCTTATGCAACTAGTGCATGTCAATTGGTGGAACCGGTCTCACGTAAGCGTACGTGTAAGGTTGGTCCGGGCCGCTTCCTCCCACAATGCCGCCGAATCAAGATAAGACTAGTAACGGCAAGATAATTCACAATATCGACGCCCACAACTGCTTTGTGTTCTATTCGTGCACAGTAACTACGCATAGACCTAGCTCATGATGCCACTGTTGGGGATCGTAGCAGCATTTTAAAATTTTCTATGCATCACCAAGATCAATCTATGGAGTCATCTAGCAACGAGGGAGAGAGGAGTGCATCTACATACCCTTGTAGATCACGAGCGGAAGCGTTCAAGAGAACGGGGTTGATGGAGTCGTACTCGTCGTGATCCAAATCACCGAAGATCCTAGCGCCGAACGGACGGCACCTCCGCGTTCAGCACATGTACGAAGCGAGGACGTCTCCCGCGCCTTGATCCAGCAAGGAGGAGGGAGAGGTTGAGGAAGAGGGCTCCAACAGCAGCACGACGGCGTGGTGGTGGTGAAGCTGCAGTACTCCGGCAGGACTTCGCCAAGCTCTTACGAAGGAGGAGAGGTGTTGGGGAGGGGAGGGCCGCGCCTTGGATGTTGTGTGCAACCCTCCCCTCACCCCTCTATTTATAGGGGAAGGGGGAAGGGGGCCGGCCCCCTAGATGAGATCTAGAGGGGGGACGGCCAAGGGGAGGGGGGCTTGCCCCCCAAGCAAGGGGGCGCCCCCCTTAGGGTTTCCCCCCAACCCTAGGCGCATGGGCCCTAGGGGGTGTGGCGCCCTAGCCCACTTGGGCTGGTTCCCTTCTCCATACAGCCCATAAGGCCCTCCGGAAGAGGTGGCCCCTCCCGGTGGACCCCCGGAACCCCTCCGGTGGCCCCGGTACAATATCGATATGCCCCGAACCTTTCCGGCGACCGTATGACAACTTCCCATATATAAATCTTTACTCCGGACCATTCCGGAACTCCTCGTGATGTCCGGGATCTCATCCGGGACTCCGAACAACATTCGGTAATCACATACAAGTCTTCCTAACAACCCTAGCGTCACCGAACCTTAAGTGTGTAGACCCTACGGGTTCGGGAGACATGCAGACATGACCGAGACGACTCTCCGGTCAATAACCAACAGCGGGATCTGGATACCCATGTTGTCTCCCACATGCTCCACGATGATCTCATCGGATGAACCACGATGTTGAGGATTCAATCAATCCGTATACAATTTCCTTTGCCAATCGGTACGTTACTTGCCCGAGACTCGATCGTCGGTATCCCAATACCTTGTTCGGTCTCGTTACCGGCAAGTCACTTTACTCGTACCGTAATGCATGATCCCGTGATCAACCACTTGATCACATTGAGCTCATTATGATGATGCATTACCAAGTGGGCCCAGAGATACCTCTCCGTCATACAGAGTGACAAATCCCAGTCTCGATTCGTGCCAACCCAACAGACACTTTCGGAGATACCTGTAATGTACCTTTATAGTCCAGTTACGTTGTGACATTTGGCACACCCAAGGCACTCCTACGGTATCCGGGAGTTGCACAGTCTCATGGTCTAAGGAAATGATACTTGACATTCAGAAAAGCTACAGCAAACGAACTACATGATCTTTGAGCTATGCTTAGGATTGGGTCTTGTCCATCACATCATTCTCCTAATGATGTGATCCCGTTATCAATGACATCCAATGTCCATAGTCAGGAAACCATGACTATCTTTTGATCAACGAGCTAGTCAACTAGAGGCTCACTAGGGACGTGTTGTGGTCTATGTATTCACACATGTATTATGATTTCCGGATAACACAATTATAGCATGAACAATAGACAATTATCATGAACAAAGAAATGTAATAATAACCATTTTATTATTGCCTTTAGGGCATATTTCCAATAGTAGCGCCTTTGTTCGTAAACGCGTTGCTACAAAACAAGTAGCGGTAGCGCGGTTCTACGTAGATCGCTACTACTATGTGTAGCCTATCGGCTAAGCCATGGGAATTTTAGTAGTAGCGCTTTTGTACTCGGGCGCGCTACTGCTATAACTGTATCTGTAGCGCGGTTTAAAACACCGCGCTGCTGCTAATTAGCACCAACATGCGTTTTTAGCCCGCGCTATTGCTAATGTTCTGTGTATAAGGTTTTCCCTAGTAGTGTTAGCAATACAAAACTAGATTTGGACCGCATATAGATTGGAGAAATGTGGGTGGCCAAATTACGGGTTTTGTCCTGTATGTAAGCCGAGGAGTCTGCCGGACATATCTTCAAATACCGGTTCGCCGTGAGACTATGGGGCATGATCAAGGTTTGGGCCCACCTCGACAACAACGAGATTTCATTGGATCAACATGTCCGAGATGAATAGGACAATACGGAAAACGTTGGCTCCCCTCACCATGCTCACTTATTAGACCATTTGGTGTGAAGTAAAGCTACGGTCTTGTGTCATCAGTCTACTCTATCGTCCATTCTTCTCTCCAACATAAAAAAATAAGGCCAAACTTTGGGTCATCACTGGTACGAAGCATCTGGGCAATGCCAGATTAGAGAGTAACGACCTTGTAATATTCTCGTCCTCTTACTTTGTAAGGCTAGCCATAGTGAGGATAACTTAGGTAGTAACTTAACACATCCCAAGATAATTTTGCTTATGTGGCAAGTATTTAATGAGGAGAGAGGTGCTTGAAGTAACAAAATATGTTACTGTAACATAGCGCTTCCCGAGGTAAAATGAGTGACACTAATCTAAGTTACTCCCCAGTATGACCAGCCTAAAAGCACTTCTAAATTCCTTATTTAATGGATGAGGCAAATCGTATGCGTCCGTTTTTTTGTAAAAAAAGAGAAGTGGTACAGATTACAAGAAAAGATGGTTCATCCCGTGGAATAAAAGACCGCTCATTTTGCGCTAAAGAAAAGAAAAGAAAGGACGGATCAATTAAGTGAAGCATGCATCTTAGCTAGCCTAGTGGGAAAACTTGAAGACCATATCATGCTTGTACACCTCGCCGGGCCTGACGATCGACGACGGGAACTCAGGGTGGTTGACGGCGTCGGGGTACGCCTGCGTCTCCAGGCACAGCGCGCCGTACTGCCCGTACACCTTCCCTCCTTTCCCCTTGTCGTTGCTGAGCCAGTTGGCGGTGTAGAGCTGCACCCCGGGCTGGTTCGCCCACAGCTCCAACGCCCGGCCGGAGTCCGGGTCCTGGACGCGCGCCACCGGCCGCATCGCGTCCTGCTGCCCGTCCACGGCGAAGTTGATGTCGTACCCGCCGCCGCCGCCCGGGACGATCTCCATGTTGGCTCCCACGGGCGTCGGCGTGAGGAAGTCGTACTTTGTGCCGGCCACGGGCGCGACCTGGCCCGTCGGGATCATGTACCCGTCGACGGGCGTGTAGCGTGAGGCGAACATCTGGAGCTCGTGCTCCAGGACGTCGCCGCTGCCGTGGCCAGCGAGGTTCCAGTACGCGTGGTTCACAAGGTTCACCGGCGTCGCCTTGCTCGTCGCCGTCGCGTTCATGTTGATGCTCAGGTCGTACGGGTCGGAGAGCCGGTACGTCACATACACGTCCAGGTACCCCGGGAACCCTGCATGCCCCAGACATGATCCGCGAAAACAAGTGCTCGTCAGATCTTTCTGTCATGAAGATTAATCCAAGCGCGAGGAGCTAGTAAACTACTATAAAGTTTTGACATGTGTAGTAGTAGTAGTACTAGTTTTACCTTGCTCTCCGTCGAAGCTGCCGTAGTAGAAGGTGATGTACGGGGAGTCGCCGTCGTGCACGTACTCCTTCACCGTCCAGATGACCTTGTTGAAGCCCCTGGGGCCGCCTAAACAAAGAGCAACAAGATGATTAAATGAGTACAAAGCGCGTCGTGAGTCCATGCATAGGGTTTCGGTGAAAAATAAAATTAAAATTAAGTCTGAAGCATACCATGAATCGTGTTGTTGCCGTCGTTATGGAGGAGACGATAGGTTCTGCCGTCGAGCACGAAGCGGGCGTTGGCGATTCTGTTTGCTACGCGCCCAATAGTCGATCCGGCAGCAGCGCCTTTCTGATGAGACATGCACGTACAAAAAGGTTTTTGAATTGAACAGAGACGCACTCATCATGCATATTTATCTACCACTTGGAAGGAGTGAAAACACATGGATTTGTGATCTTACAGCGTATGCAGCAACAGTGTCGTACCCAAGTACAACATCGGTCAAGTCCCCTGAAAAAGAAGTTCACCTCTTGAGAAACAAGATGCAAGCATGCAATACGGGTTCTTGAAACCAAGAAGCAAGCGGCCTTACCATGGCAATCAGGGACGAGGACAGATACGAGGGTAGCTCCCCAGTTGGTGACCTTGATGGAGAAGTCCCCCTTCTTGTTCTTGAGCTCATAGAAACCGTCCGCCGTCCTTCTGGCGTCGGCGCTGCCGGGCAGTGCAAGGCACAGCAGCAAGGTTACAGGGAGCAGTGCAGCTCTGACCACCATTGTTGCACAGCACGTTGCTAAAAGCAGAGAGAAGGTATTGTATGGCTACCATCGAGCATGCGATCGCATATGTATGATAGGTTGACGACGACTTACAGTAGGTTAGGTTTCTCTCGAGGTCGTACACGAAGAAAGTCAAAACTCTCCATTCAAAGTTTCTCCGATCCAAATTATTTCCTTCTTGGGATCTGAGATCTAGCAGAAGTTTATCGTTGCTATTTCCCAGTTGCAATCTCCCACTAGTGTCGAGTTTTACTCATTTAAGTTCTTTTCATTGTCTGCCCATGCATCCGAATAAAATAGAAGCAAAAGAAAAAACTTCCAAGATTATAAGAAACCAATTTTGTTAGGTCTCACTCTGTCGGTGAGTAAGTATACCCACTTGGAAAAGATGCTTGCGAACCCTAACTATGTAATGTGTCATATGCAACGTCCATTTGGCCACACGATATACATTGTCAATCTCGAGATGAGTATTAGTCAGCCAGTCTTGTCGGCTGCTCAAACTCATGATACATATTCCTGAATTAGATTAATATTTACCCTTAGGCGCATGGCCATGTAATTCTGAATGGGATCACTCTAAGTCCAGAGACATGACTACCCAGCTATGGTGTAGAGTTTGATATCCCTTACAAAGCGGCCGTATCACATTGCGAGAACATATGACAGTCTCAAGTCTAGGACATGACATATACATTTTACCTGAAACTAACTAATGACGTTTCTCAGTGCACCTCAAAATGGGTCTATTCGACACAATGTTCTACCAACATAAGTCGGTATCATTTGATTGATATCAATATATCCATTATCTATAAAACATGGTCACCATCTCATAGGTTGCTAGCCTATTGGTATGTGTCATATCTATATAGACTTGGGACCATTAAAGTCATGTACTTTCCAACCTATATTCAAGGATAATATTGAAGAGAGAAGTGTATATATCAACCCAACTCCTGGATGGGTGTAATATACAACCCTCAACTATCAAGTCATCTAAGTTGATCGCGCCCTACTGCTTAACCATGAACCCAACAGGCCAACACCGACTCGGTGGCTTGCAGCGCACTGCAACACCAAGGAGACCTCGGTTTGATCCCTGGCTTCTCCCTTTTTCTTCTCTATTTTCTATTAAGTGTGCGCTAATGGGCCGGTCTGTTAGTGTGCATGCTTAAGGCAAGAGCTCCTTCCGTCTCACTATAAGCGAGATATAGCTCACGCGGCATCCCGTCACACCCATCCAAGGTGGGCGACTCTATGGCAAAGAGCACACAAATCTGCCCACGTGCATGAATCTTGATGTGCCTAAATCTAAGTGGTATGGACCTGACTGAGATATTGGTAAACCTCGGTCAGCTGGGATTTAGCAAAACCGTTATTTTTCTAAGCACCTTACATTTTAGAAGATGTTAATGGCATTTTCTTTATAAAAAGGACCCCAATAGTTGGGGAACGGTTGCCGGGGGAGCTCCCCAGCTGTCAATTCGTTCTCGAGGACACTCGAATAACAAGCGAACGATTTCGTTCGCTGGGATAAAACCCTCACAGCGAACCCCACAGCCCGCGGGCCTCTTTACTAGGCCATCGTATGTAAAAAAATGATAAATGCCATCATAGGTAAATCATGCATGGCAGTTTAAAAAAAACTCGTTCTGGTTCTATAATTTGAGTTGCCATGTCAACAAAGAGGAAAAAATGCCATGATAATAAATGTCATCTCTTAAATAATAAAAAATGACATCTCTTAATAATAAAAATATCATCTCTTAATGAAAAGGCCATCTCTTAATAATAAACAATGCCATCCATTAATAATAAAAAATTCATGCACAAAAACAAACTTGACTTGTGAAACAAAAACAAAAAGGGAAAGTATAAAATTGCCATGTGACATAGTTTGAAAATTTATAAACAGCCATGTTAATTTTTTTTCTAGAAAAATTGGTGTGTGATGAAAAAAGAAAAAAAAGGCTAGACTGGGGTTCAATGCCCGATACCGCGAAAATCAAGGAGGGGAGGGGAGGGGGGCTGTTTAATTGTTTGAAAGGGTCCTTCGATGGCCTGTAATATGCCCGTCCATGTAGCATTTCTAGTGTGTTGACTCTATTATTTTGAAAATAGTTTGCTGGCTTTGGTGACGTGGCTCGGATCCTGGGCCAGGGGCTGTTTAATTGTTTGAAAGGGTCCTTCGATGGCCTGTAATATTTTTTTTGAGCAAAAGAGGGTTTTTCCCTCCGGTTTCCATTAAAGAAACCATCGGAACAGCATCCAAGAAAGTTTTGTTCGACTCACACAACTTAAGCTAATCCTATTACATGCCAGGAGGAGTCACACAGTAAACCATAGCCAAGCAACAGCTACATAAAGCAAGGAGGCCCCAGGAACAGCCTCCCAAGGATGAGTCGCATGCGCGGATTCCCCACTTCTCTTCACTGGAGCGCCAAAAGAAGAGAACCCTTCGTCCTGTCACCGCTGAATTCGGAGAACCCCAAAACGCCAACCTTGCGTAGCCTTGTAGACATCACTTGCTACTTGCACGATGAGTTTTGCCCCCAGCATCAACATTTTTTCCTCTGGGTCCCTTTTCTACAAAATAGCCCAGCCAGAGATCCATCCACAAATCATTTTTACAATTCCCATAGGGCCGGAAATCTTTTTTCTATCAAATACAATATCATTTCTGCATCTCCAAATCGCCCATAACAGCGCTGAGATGCCAACTAGAATGAGTTTTTTGCTATCTTTCTGGAAAAAAATTAGCCAGTTCCCCAGACAATCATCAGGATCTCTAGGGGTACTTTTCAAATCAAACACACATCTTACTAATGCCGAGATAATTTTGGCCACCGAACAAGAGAAAAACAAGTGATCAATTGTTTCATCCTTCCCACAGAACACGCAATGTTTATCTCCTTTCCATCCTCTTTTTAACAAGTTATCCCTGGTTAGTACACTTTTCCTCGCCATAAGCCATATGAAAATTTTAATTTTAGCAGGGACTTTAATTTTCCACAGGAATTTCCTTGGAAACCCTACTTCGGTCTTTATCAAATATATGTATAGTGACTTGACAGAAAACTTTCTATAAGTGGCCGGCATCCATAAAGGTTTATCTCTACCCTCATGCATCAGGACTTCCTCACATCTCCCTTTCACACTATCCCACAGTTGTTCAGTGTCACCATACAGTGACCTCCTGAAGGTAAACCCACTCCAGCCTTTCTCAATAGCATCTCTAACTATTATTCCATGATCATTACTGATAAAGAATAAACAAGGGTAAGCCTCTTTGAGAGATTTATCACCTACTCACCAATCTTCCCAAAACCTAGTGTTTTTTCCATCCCCCAATTTTTTCTTGATATGCGGATAGAAATATTTCCTAACTATCAAGATATTATACCAAAACTAGGAGTCCCCACTTTTCTGCTTGATCCCAGAGAGACATTTATCTCCCACATATTTATTTTTGACAATCCCCTGCCAAAATCCCTCATCGTTTTCTATTTTCCACAACCACTTTGCTAACAGAGCAATGTTAAACATCTCAATATTGGTGACCCCCAGCCCCCCTTGCTGTTTTGGAAGACAACAAGTTTTCCAATTCACCAGATGGTACTTCCTTTTATCCTCATCTGATTGCCATACCATCCTGGCTCTGTAGAAATCTACTTTTTTCCTAACACCAGCTGGTAAAAGATAAAAGGACATCATGTATATAGGAATATTGGACAAGCAGGATTGCACTAGAGTGACTCTACCTGCAATATTTAGTAACCTACCCTGCCAACAGACACATCTTTTCTCAAAAAATTTCCACATTTTATTTCTGATTCTTTTATTAGACACAGGTAAACCAAGATATTTCAGGGGTGTCTCTCCCAGAATGCAAGTGAAAATGTCTTGATATAGGTCTTTCCTCTCTATAGCTTCCCCAAACAAGAATATTTCACTTTTGTGAAAATTTATTGTCAGGCTAGACATCTGTTCAAACGCAGTTAAGATAAATTTCAAATTTCTAGAAGAATTTTCATCATCTTGAATCAAGAAAATAGTATCATCTCATATTGTAACATATTGACCCCATTTTCATGATAATCAGTAAGAACCCCTTTCACAAACCCCTGATGACCCACGAGTATAGGGGATCTATCGTAGTCCTTTGGGTAAGTAAGAGTGTCGAACCCAACGAGGAGCAGAAGGAAATGATAAGCGGTTTTCAGCAAGGTATTCTCTGCATGTACTGAAATAAGTGGTAACAGATAGTTTTGTGATAGGATAAATTGTAACGAGCAACAAGTAACAAAAGTAAATAAAGTGCAGCAAGATGGCCCAATCCTTTTGTAGCAAAGGACAAGCCAGAACAAACTCTTATAATAGGAAAAGCGCTCCCGAGGACACATGGGAATATTGTCAAGCTAGTTTTCATCACGTTCATATGATTCGCGTTCGATACTTTGATAATTTGATATGTGGGTGGACCAGTGCTTGGGTGCTGTTCTTACTTGAACAAACATCCCACTTATGATTAACCTCTATTGCAAGCATCCGCAACTACAACAAAAGTATTAAGGTAAACCTAACCATAACATGAAACATATGGATCCAAATCATCCCCTTACGAAGCAACGCATAAACTAGGGTTTAAGCTTCTGTCACTCTAGCAACCCATCATCTAATTATTACTTCCCAATGCCTTCCTCTAGGCCCAAATAATGGTGAAGTGTTATGTAGTTGACGTTCACATAACACCACTAGAGGCTAGACAACATACATCTTATCAAAATATCAAACGAATACCAAATTCACATGACTACTCATAGCAAGACTTCTCCCTTGTCCTCAGGAACTAACGTAATTACTCACAAAGCATATTCATGTTCATAATCAGACGGGTAATAATATGCATATAGGATCTGAACGTATGATCTTCCACCAATTAAACCAACTAGCATCAACTACAAGGAGTAATCAACACTACTAGCAACCTACTA